CAGCTCAGTGGCATAAGTGTCTGCCTGGCAAGTGCAAGGTCCTGAACTTGACCCCTGGTACCAAAAAGAGGGAGAAAGATCAAATATCTTAACAAGAAAATCTTAAGAAGAGAACATGAAAACTGGATTCCACAGATGTTAGAAAGACTACGATAAGGTGGGATAAGTGAAAAATGAGACAATAGCACAACGGGGAAAAAACAGTTTGCGGAGAGAATAAGAGAACTTCCCAAGTACTGTGGGAGGATTAAATATGCAGATAAAAGAGAAATACAGAACCCTGAAAAGCCATCGCTAGGGGAGCTTGTGGCTTATGTCCCCCAGCTGAAACTTGCCGTTGTCCTCGACACCTGGCACACAGCCAGCACGTGGTAGATGCTCAGTAAACAGTCACAGAAAGTCAGGATGTTTGACAAAGATCTGGATTTCTGAATCTCATTTTTATTTTCTTGAATATTTGTCCATCTATTTATTTACGGGGTTTTTTTTTTAATGCATTTGGTACAGGGTCTACAGGGTCTCACTACATAGATTGGACTTGTAGTGATCCACCTGTGTTCAGCCTCCCAAACTCCCCAGGGATTGCAGGTGCATGACACTATGCCCAGTCTTAATTGCCATCTCAGTGTGCCCTGGGGGTGGAGCCAGAACAGCATGCTGGGGATCAAACCCTGGCTGCGGCACTCTGCCTAACTTTAGTCAGGCACTTTAGTCAGCTGAGCTATCTAGCTAGCTCCCCCCCTTTATTTATGATTTTTTTAAATATATATATATATATATTTTTTAATTTTTATTTATTACATTTATTTATTGTGTGTGTGTGTGTGTGTGTGTGTGGCCAGCTCAGCCCACCAGGGGTCAGGGCTGGCTGGCATGTGGTGCTGGGGGATCGAACCGAGGTCCCTGTGCTTTGCCAAGCTTGTTTCAAGTAGGTGCTTTAGACCACTGAGCCATCTCTCCAGCCCCTTTTTATGATTTTTGAGGTGGACTCTCATATATAGTTTAGGCTGGCCTTGAACTCACTGTATAGCCCAGGCTGATCTGAACTTACAGTGATCCTCCTGCCTCAGCCTCCCGAGTGCTGGGATTACAGGCATGCACCACAACGCCTATCCTGGCCCTGCCATTTTCTATTAGATGGGGCCCATGACCCTCCAGGACTACAATCTCTGTTCCCTGTCCTTACGAAGAAAGTAGTGGGAGAAGATGATTCCCACCATCTTGTGGGTGGGTAAACCGAGGCAAAATTATGCAGTGCCAATCTGGAGTGTGTCTGGAGCTCCACCCTTCCCCTGGTACCCGCGTGCATGGCAAGAGGCCTCTGGGTTCTGCACCCCTGCCACTGGTGTGGACCCCACTCACCCAGTGGATCGCCGTCCACCACACTGTACTCCACCTGCCCATTGGGGCCCGAGTCCCGGTCGTGGGCCCGGAAGGTCCATACCCTGGGCCCCGGCTGGCCTTCAGTGACATCAAAGGGTCCCTCGTAGTCCCGGGGAAAGGTGGGCACGTTGTCATTGATGTCGTTCACATTCACCAGCACCTGAGATGGTGGAAAGGCTCTCCTGGGGCCACTTCGCAGCCAGTGTGTGTGGGCCCCACGTGTACTGCCTCGGCTGGGTCATCAGCTCCTTCACCTGCTAACGTGGCCTTGTATAGCCAACTGGTGGGGCTCATGGACACGGGGTGGGGGTCTTTTTTTGAGACAGGGTCTCCCTATATAGTTCACACTGGCCTTGAACTCACTATGCAGCCCAGGCTGCCCTCAAACTCATGGCGATCCTCCTGCCTCAGCCTCCTAAGTGCTGGGGCTACAGGCATGTGTCATGACACCTGGGAATCCCTCTTTCGCAGGTGAGAAAATTGAAGCTGAGAGAGGTTATGTGGCTTGGCCAAGTTCTCACAGCTAGGAAGTGAAAGGGCATGGATTTGAGTCCTTATTCATTTGATCAGAGTTTATGCTTTTCCCGTAAAGAGATGGAAGGCAGGGCTTTGGGTCTGATTAGATACAGCCACACAGAGAGGTTCAGGGGCCTCTTCAAAGCCACACAACTAATGTGGAGAGCTGCTGGCCAGGAGCAGACCTCCTGGATGTAGGCATTCTCCTCGGAACGTTCTTCCCCTTATTCCTGTCCCTCACAGGAGCTTCCTGGGTCCTGTACCCCCAGGCAGCACTTTGGAGCTGTGCCTTGCCCACCCACCGTGGTGGTCGATGTGAGGCGGTGGGACAGGATGGGGCACTGGTCCGTGGCGGTGACTATCAGGGTGTAGCGGCCGTGGCTGATCTCGTAGTCCAGCTCCTTGATGGCACTGACGATGCCCTGGGGGACACAGAGGGAACAAGGGTGGGTCAGTGGGGGATGGGTAGTGGACCTGGGCACCCTCTAATTGGCACAGAAGGTACAAGGCCTGGACACCCTGGCACCACAGGGGCCTGGCACCCTCTAGATGAGGGCTCTCCCACCCGGGACCCCAATGTCCACAGACTCAACCCGCATTCCCCATCCCACGATGCTGCCGAGCACCTGCCAACCCCCAGGGGAGTCTTGCCCTCCTCCCAGGCCCCACTGTCAGCTGCTCACTGTGCGTCTGCCAATCCGGAAGGTGTTGATGATGTTGCCCGCGATGATGGCATAGACAACTGTCCCATTGGGCCCCTCATCTGGGTCCAGTGCCTGGACAGTGATGAGGCTGGCATTGACTGTGTCTGGGCCCTCGTCTAGTGATACTTCATAGTGAGGCTGCTGAAACTTGGGGGCATTGTCATTCTCATCCACAATGGTCACATACACATGGGTGGTGGCCTGAGGAGAACAGCAGGGTCAGGTGCCTTGCTCAGGCATTAGAGGGACTGAGGTAGATCAAGATGGTGAGGGAAGGAAGTCACAGGCTGGTATTTGCATCCAGATAGCACTCACACCACTACTGCTATGTCTATGCCTGTGGAAGACATCACTAATCAATCATTACTGAGGTCAGATGCAGGCTTTTGATCCTCATCAGCCAGAAGCCTAGTGATTAAAGCTGGCATGTGGGATGAACACCAGAAGCCACCCCAGCACAAGCTTTGGGCTGCTTCTCCTGAACAGTGACAATGAAGCTACAGGCACTGATCACTGGTGAGGGGCCCAGGAGTCCCTTGGTCCCTGGCAAGAGCACAAGAGCACCATCTGCAGGCAGGGAGAGAATCCCACCATTTCTGAGCCACCTCCCAGCTCCCTGAAAGTAGGTCTGACCATCATGTAAGCTGCTGAGGGTAAGAGAGGGATTTTTCACAGAGCTGCCCTGCAGGCCTCCAGCTTCTGGACCAGACCCAGGGAGGGTATGGTCTGCCTCCCTCTGGCTTCTGGATGAGAAGGAAGTCAGGCCTCAAAGGCTCTCTCTGTGAGTCATCCCGCCTTGCCCCAGGCTTTAGGGAAAGTGGGCTTGAGGCTGCTGAACTGGTCCCACACCTTGGGCAATGCACGTCTTACCTGATGCAACCCCCAGAGACTCAGGGCTGGACAGTGTGGTGGGGAGGAAGTAGAAGAAATGGGGGAAGTGCTCTTGGAAGGTGACCTCTGGTTGGGTCACCCTAGAGTAACCCCCTCCTCACCTCTGCCAAAGGGCAGCCAGATGGAAAGAAGGCATAGTGCCCTTGATCTCAGTTACCTTAGTCCCCTCCCTGGGAGGAAGAGAACATGTGGTTTGCCAACAGGAAGGATAAGGAGTATCTAGGTGGGGTCACAAGGCCAGCATCATGCTGAGGCACCTGGATTATGTCTTGGCCACCCTTGACACTCCTGTCCCAACCCAGTGTCCTTTCTGGCTCCAGAGGGACTGGGCCTGCACAAGGCCACTGAGTAATAACATGACACACTCACTTTTCCTCTCCTGTGGCCTTCCCACCCCCAGAGGCAGGGCCAGGAGCCCCCAGAGAGCTCGTGACACAGCTCAGGACACCTGGAAGCCACCCATAACTCTTGGCTCCCAGTCTGTTCCAACAGCCTGATTCCTGACGCTGCTGGACTCTGTCTGCCTTCACCCTGGGGTCACCTAGGGGTGCCAGGTCCATAAAGGGCCAGCAAATCAGGGCTGGGGTACACTGGGCACAGCAGGCTTTTCCTCCCTCTCCTGTGACCCCTGGTCCCCTCTATGGCAGTGAACACCTCTCCACACCCAGCTTGTGGTAGAACCTCAGAACCACATGGGGAGGAGCCCCTCATCCCCAGCTCTCAGGAAAACAGAAGAGCCCAACAAAGAACCAGCGGGTTGCAGCTTTAGGCCAGTATGGGAGCCAAACAGGGTGGACAGAAAGGACCAGGGATGCTGACCAGGGAAGGATCTGAGCTGGGCCTGGAGGGGTGACCAGAGTTTGGGTAGGAGAGGACAGGTGCTTGGGTGATGCTGTGGGCAGTAAGAGAGTGTGGGGGGTGTCCAGGACGTGGGGGAGGGAGAGCTGGTGCAGAGCCAAGGGGCAGTGGGGCCTGGGCAGAGGAGGAGCCCAAGGAGGCTCTGTGGGACACCCTAGCAGATCCTGCGCGCTGGAGTCCTGGTTAGGGAGATGCCCAACCTGCTTGCAGCATGGCTGCTCGTGTGCACAGACTGGAAGGGCCTTGGGCACTGATCTACAGTCAGGCCCACTTCAGCTTGCTTAGCTCATTACCAGTATCAGATGTGATGGAATGACTGATGGATTCACACAAGCATTCACTCCACAATGGGAGCTGCGCCCCACACTGGGAGGAGAATGCAGTTCAGTTCCTGCCCCAGGTGGCTGCAGACAGACACAACTATGAGAATGATGCAACGGTAGACGTAGATCTGCTTCTTACGCGATAACAAACCTCTAGAAAGCGCTGGGGAGGGCAGAAAGCGCTTGACACAGGGCCTCGAAACTCACTTGCTGATCTGTGGGTCCTACCACTACCTCCTCTCCAGCGCGGCCTCTGGCGCACTGCCGCCCGCGGCCGCCTGGGGGCGCTGTGGAGCCCCAGCCTCCACCCCAAGGCGCGCCTCGCTTGCTCGGCACTCGCTCAGCAGGCTGCCCCGGACAGCCGTGTCCCGCCGGTCCCCTGCGACTCGCCCGTTCCGGGCGACCCGCCGCCCGCTCCGCCCGCCGACGACATGCGTGTCCCCGCGGTTCCGGAGGCCGGCGGCTGGCGCTGGGGACCCCTGCTCCTTGCTCTCTTCCTGACTGCGTCCCGAGGTAAGGTCCGTGGGCGCCAGGGCAGCGCAACACAGAGGCGGCAGGTTGGGGACTTCAACTTGCTGGGATCTCTGTCCACCGCACGGAGGCCACGGACCTCTGGGCAACGTGCACAAGTGTCTCAGATGGGTATGGAGCACTCTGAAAGCTCTGACAACTGACCTGGCCACAGGCAAGGCGTCCCCTGTGGGCTGCCGGCCCTACTTTCCCTTGCCGGGAGAGCTGAGGCACAGGAAGCCCCTGCAAGGCAGGGTAGGGGTAGGGTGGGTGCAGCTGGTACCAGTGTCAGTGCCCTGCCCCTCTAGCGTCAGGGCTCCAGTCTCAAAAGGGGCAGGGGGTGTGGTACTCTCGGCCTGTGCCCTGGTGACTCTGCTGGCTTAGCTTTGGTGGGTGTCACTCAGGGCGGGCACTGGTGTACCCCAGGTGGGGGCAGCTCTGCCCACAGGGTCCCGTCTGACAGCCGGATTAAGTGGTCAGGGGACTCCTGCTGTTTAAAGGGCTGCAGCTCAGAACGTTGCAGGGGTGGGGGGGGGGAGCAGGGAGGAGGTGGGGTCTCTTCCAGCCCAGCCTTGCACCTTCTGTCCTTGGATAACATGGCATCTCTGCAGCCTCAGTTTCCTCAGCGCAAACAGAAATTCCACATAGGAAGTGCCAAGGCTAAAGCCCCTACTGTCACGGCTCCAGATGGCATCCTGGTCAGGACACAGGGGCTTGGGGTAGGGGGCTTTGGCTCTTGCCTGTGCACAGCTGGAGGCTGCATCTCCCTTTGGGGCAGAGGGGTCTGGCAGGCAGCCTGGGATCCAGGCTTACGGGGAAGGCCCAGGGAAAGTTGAGTCATGCGGGGAGGCAGATGGAGCTGGAGGGCTTGGCAGAGGGACCCAATGGGCAGGTCAACAGAAGAGAAGGAAGCAGGACATGGGATAGGAGGGGGAGGAGGCGGCTGGGAGAACCTGGCACACACCCTAAAAGTAAGGGTGTCTGAGGCGGCTTGGTATCTCAGCTCTGGCACTCTGGCCTGGGCTTCTGATGAGGAGGGACCCCACACCCAGCAGACACAGCTGTCCAAGCCCCAGCCTGGATGCTCCCACAGATGACATCCTGAAGGAGAAAGAGTGTGGGAGGGGAGGGGAGTGGGCCTGTCTGGTCCTGAGGTTTCCAGAAGGAGCAGAGGGTGGCTGCAGGCAGGAAACCCCCACTTCAGGGCCACCTACCTGGTCACCCACCCAAGTGACTACACAAGGCCCTTCCTGTTTCCTTGTGCCTTCCCTGCCCATACGTGGCTGGGCAGCTGTCTGTTCAGCAGCCCCAATTTGGGAAACAGTCCTAGAGAAGCAGGGTATAGGACCTGCTTGCAGAGTCCCCAGGCCTAAGGGGAGCCCAGGAGCCCTGGCTAACCTCATCTCCACAGAGCAGCCTTCCCTCCCAGGGGCCATGGTGCCTAACCTACATGGGTGTCCAAGGACCACCTCCTGCCAGCCTGCTCAGGTAGGTAGCTAGGGCTGCTCTAAGTTGTGTCCACCAAAAGGAGTCATAGACACCCCCCTGGGCTGGGCACTAACTAACTGCAACCTGGGTACCCCATGCCCCATGCACCATCACTCAAGCCAAAGCCCTCATGGCTGGAAGGCAAGATGGAGTGGCCAGGGTACGCCAGTGCCGTGGCAATGGCAGTAGTGTTAGGTGCTCAGGAGCCTGGAGCCAGAAAGGCAATCCTTTCTGGGCCTGGCACAGGACAGGATGGCTGGCAGGGCACCTTGGGGACCAGGACCCAGCAGCTCCTAAAGGTGCCATAGCCTCTTCTACTCCAGGACCTGTCTACTGTTGTTACTCTATCTTTGTAGCTGACTCAGGAGTCCTAACTCAGGGACCAGCATATTCGAGCACTTGAGGGTACACTGGGGCTAGGGAGGGGGTGACCCATCTTCCCCTTCCTGCTGCAAGGCTGTGGACCTTGTTGCATAACCCAGACCTGCAAACTTCTGACCCAACAGTGGTCAGCTCTTAGGCAATCCCTGGCCCACTCCACACCAGGGATGGATAGAAGCAGAGAAGCAGCCTGGGGCCAGTCCATGGGCAAGAGGGGCATTTACCCAATGCCAGGGGGCCCCCAGGAGAGGACCTCACTGAGTGGCTTTGATTGCTCCTCTTTGCCCCAAGCTGCCTAGGACCCTGCTGGGGCCTGACTTTCCTGCAAGAGGGTAGCCCAGGCAGGGGTGCACTTGGGGGAACTCAAATGGGCCACCCTGTATAGACCTTAGATATGGCAGGAGGAAGTAAAAGGGGTATCTTTAGAGCCCTAAAAACTTGGAGTCCCACATTGTAGGTTAGCCATTGTGCCAGGCCCAGCCTAGACTCATCAGACAAGGGTAAGTCAGGAGTCAGTACCCTGGCTTCCAATGCCAAGGATCCCCTGGCATTTCAGGCACAGCCATGGCCTCCCGATGAGACACTTGGGTGGGAACAGAGAAGAAAGGGGGCTGGAGCAGCGTCTTGCCTGCCAGGGTTTCTGTACAGCCCCTGCTTCGGGCTTTAGGAGTCAGTTGCACATGAGTTCAAATCCCAGACCGGCCATTCATGCTCTGTGCCCTTGGCAAGTCCCTCAGCACCTGGGGCAAGGCCCCACACTGTACAGCCCTCCCTCTGAGGCAGCACTCAGCTGGGGGCCCTGACCTGGTGAATGTGGAATAACAGGTTATATCTCAGCTTCTGGCAACCAAATGCCACGGTTTTCTGTATGAGCATCTTGTTGCCTACAGGGCCCATGGAGTGCCCAAGGCTTGGGGAAGGCATGGGCACAGGCCACGTCCTGTCCCTGACAGGCACCTCGAGGCATGGAGCATCTCAGGGTATAGGGAGGTGCCTCCTGTTGTTCATCTTCTCAAACACTTGGGGACATTTTTACTTTAAGGCCAGCCCGGTTCAGTGTTTGTGCATCTCTGCAGAGTCTTTCTTGCCCCTGATGCCCACAGTTCCCCAAGAGCAAGGCAGCGACCTCCATCCTGGCCCCCAGTGGTTCCGAAATGGAGCTGTTCTGTGGACTGCACAGGCCAACCACCTTTCGTCCCAGAAGAACAGGGGTCAGGTCTCAGCTCCGCTGCTCCTCCCAGGGGCACCCTAAACACACAGCTCCTCTCTGTCAAGTGCAGCAGGCAGGCTAGACAACAGGGTCCCAGCAGCAACAGCTCTTCTCAAGGGTAATTCCACAGCGGTGTTTCCCAAGTTCTTGCGTTCATTACCTTTTTGATTTCTGCCTCATCTACCTATCATGGTATCTACTTTTTTTTTTTTTAACTCTACTCATTGTTTTGTTTGAGTAAGTAGATTTCAAAAGGAAACTTTATGTTCACTGTCATAAGTGGAAAGCCAGTATCACCTACCATAAATAGATCAAAGTCATTAAAGTACATAATAGGAAAACCAAATAAGGGTATTAAATTCTAGTTGGAAACTTTAGCCTGGGGAAGGTGCTGAGACTGAAGCCTGCTTCTGTCTTTTGGGAAATAATACAGTACTAATAATGATAAAAAAAAAAAAAAGTAAAGAAGATTAGCGAGCGATCAAGAAATGTTTGGAGGCATAGTGGCATCAAACTGGGACTTTCTCTTTGATGTAATCAGGACCGAGAAAGAACTGAAAGGGGATTAACCTTCTTTCTATATGATTCAATGTTATTTAATGTAAAACCAAAAGTAAAACTACCTAAGTTTTAGGGGCTGCCTAACGAACTGGGCCCTCATTGGCCAATCTATCTGTCAATCTGAAGGAAGGAGGCCGGGCCTTCCGTCAGGCTCCGTTATCTCTAGTCCCTAGAGAACAGTCAGATGGCCTCAGGCCTCTAGAAGCCTGGGTTCAAATCCTGACCTGGCACTTACTGTGATGCTCAGGACAAGCTCCTTAAGCTTCCGCTTCTGTAAGATGGAGAAGGTACAGCGCCTACCTCTCATGGTGGAGTGGGGGGCGATGAAATCTCCCCGCACTAAAACGCTCAGAAGGATATGCTGCACAAAGCAGTTACCCCTGTCACCACCTCTGAGCCTGCTGAGCTGGGGACAGGAGCCTTGAATGGGTCCGGGGGGGGGGGGCTGGCTGGAGCTGGCCGTGCTGCGGCGCCCAGTCCTCCTCGGGGAGGTCAGTGTGACAAGCCTCCCGGTCAGGGGCCCTGGCCCAGTGCCCACCCAGGCCCTCCCAGGAGCCTCGTCCGCCTCACAGATACTTTCCCAAGGTGCTGGCTGGAAGTGCTGCTTCCTCCCATAGAGCGCACTTCCCCTTCCCGGCCTCCTCGGTCCCTGTGAATGGTCCCTTCCTGCTGGGGCAGGTATCAATAAACACATCTGAGATGCCCTTTGTCCTCGCTGGGCCCCCGGGCAGACTTGCTGGCTTCAGCCCTCTGCCTGAGTGCCGGGGCACTTCCTTTAGAGTGGCAGTCTCCATCCTGAGGGTCCCTGCCTCTATTTTCCCCGTCCTCTGCATCTTGGCAGGTGCTGGCAGCAGGTCCCAGCCTGTTATCCCCCCACTCCCCACCTGTGAGGTCAGGCAGGTGGGGCCAGGCCTTTTCATCTACAGCTGGGGCCACAGTTTACTGGAAGAGACAGGCAGGCTGGGTGGGGCTCCCAGGCCTGGCTAATGAAGCTGGGTTGCCTTGGCGACTGGGGCAAAGCTTACACAGGTCAGGGAACATAAGCGGGCCTGTCCACACCCCACACACTACTCTCACACACGCATCCCGTGCACGCCCATGGCGGCCTGCTGGGTGCAAAGAGGCAGAGGTCACGAAAACTGACGTCCAAAGAAGTGAGAGCCAAGTATGAACTCCTCTTCCCCTGCTCTGGGGACAGAAATGTCACCTCGCCTGTCGGGGGGCACCAGTGCTCCAGAGCTGCTAAATTCCGAGCAGTTGCCTACCTCTGCCCTCCCCTCTCTGCCTTCAGCCTGGCTCACGTTAGAACCTTGCTAAATATTTGTGGAATGAAAGCATGATGTTTTCTGTTTGGGTCTGAGGCAGGGTCAACCCGGAGTCAATTCCTTTTCTCTGAACAGTCGAGAGATGAGTGTCACTGCCCACGGGCGGGGGAGGGGGCACTTCCTGTTCCAAGGTGTGGATCTCAGCTCAGCCACAGAGTGCTGTGTGGCCTTGAGAAAGTCACTTGACTTTTCTAAATCCCTTTCTTCATCTCCAAAGCGGGGTTGAAAGCCTGGTGTGTCCACCTGCGATCCCAGCATCCGGGAGGACCACTGTGAGTCTGAGTCTAGCCTGGGCTGCTTAGTGAGTTCAGTGCCAGCCTAAATTACAGCGTGAGACCCTGTCTCAAAAACAAAACAAAACCCCAAACAATAACAACACAGATGATAATATCTATATTATGGGAGAGGGTTAGGAGAGTTAAAGAAATAAATGGTCATAAAACAGCTCCTTTTTTTTTTTTGTCTGCAGCATTCCAGAGCTAGCAGGGCTTCAAAACATGGAATCTTCAAAACAGAGTCCCCTGGCTTTGGTATTGGGGCTTGAACCCAGGGCCTGCACACTGAGCTACATCTCCGGCCCTTTTTCTATTTTATTTTGAGACAGAGTCTCCCTAATTGGGCTTGAATTTGTGGTCTTCCTGCCTCAGCCTCCCAGAAGGCTGGGATTACAGGGGCTTATGCATCTTGAGAGGCCGCTGGGGTGTCTCTCAAATTCAGATGAAGAGAGAAAAGATCAGAGAAGGAATGGGCTCACCCAAGGCCACAGAGCAAGGCCTCTGAGCTAAGTGGGCCCTGGGGCCCAGGGAATTCGGAGTTTTGTGTTTCCTGGCATTTGTTGTGCAGGGTGCCCCATAGCCTTGCCCACTGGCAGGTAGGGGCTGGGCTGGAAGCAGGGCTAGGCGCCAAGAGCAGCCCAGAGGCTGAAAGCCATGGCCGGGTCATCTTCCTGGCTCCCGCACTCCTGGCCACCCTGGAGCCAGAGCTCTTCCTCCCCACCCACTCTCCCTGGCCCCCAACAATGACCAGGTGTCCAAAGGGCTTTGCTCCTGACAATAAGGGACATCCTCTGGTCAAATAATTGTAATTCCAGCAGGGCAACGCTTCCCTGCTAACGTGGGCGGTGCAGGCCTGGGGCCTGGCCATCCTGTGCTGTTTTCTCCAAGGACCAGCCACACCGGCCTTGTCATAGCTAGAGCCTAGACAGAAGTGCACAAGAGCGGAGATGTTTGGGGGCCTCTGCCCTCCCCTCCCCAGGAAAAGACCGAGAGGACCCTGGGCCCACTGGTCTCTGGTCCCTCTTGCTGGAGACTGAACTGATGCCCCTGCCCACCCTCAGAACGCACCCCAGGGCAGCTTCTCCTTTTCTAAAAGGGGAAGAGGTCCTTCGGGCCCTATGGGGTGGTGGGCAGCGTATGTTTCTGTGTGGGGTGTCGGTGATTGAGCAATGTCTCCTTCCTGTTGTCCCCAAGTCTTGTTTCTGTGTCCCCCGGTGCACTTTCAAGGAAGGTGCCTCCAGGGCCAGGGGTCCCTTCTTCACTGCTGTGGTGCAGGCTTGGGGTCATGGGCACCAGTGCTTGGGCCCACAGGGCTGTCATGTCTTGTCGGCCTGGACCCAGTCACCCACCATCCATGTCTCTGTCTCCTTGGCGACTCTGCCCTCATTGGTTTGCCTCTGTGCTCTGATTTTTTTTAGTGTTCTAAAACAGGGTCTCACTATGCAGCCCAGGCTGGCCTTGAACTTGCAGTGATCCTCCTGCCCCAGCCTCTCCAGGGCTAGTATTACAAGCTCTGAGCTGCCCTCTTGAGAGCCCCCAGATGTGAGGCACATGAGCACGTGCTCTGGAGCTGTGCTTGGCAGAGGGTGCTTGGTGGAGGGGTGCTGGTGGGAGCCCCCGTGAGGGGCCAGGAGATGCGCCAGGCTTCCCTGTGTGGGCTATGGTTCTCTAGGGAGCACTGTGGAGCCCTTTCCCTTGAAGGCCCCACTGCCAGTGCTGGCACCATGTCCAGGCCCATGACAGGGAGGGAAGTCCAGCTGGCCTGGGCATAGCCAGGTACTGCCAGGTGTCTGGGGGCACCTAGCCTGCTGTGGGTGGGGTGGAGTCATCAGGGGACAGCTGGTCGTCCTAGCTCTGCCAGGCTTCTGCAGGGACCCTGGGTGGTCAACTCTGCAATGAGCCTGAGGGTCATACTGGTGACCCTTTCAGTGATGGGCTTGGGCCTTGGTTTTCCTCATCAGTGAAATGGGACTGAACACAGTGCCTTGCCGGCGGACTCATCAGAAATGCACGAAGCCCTCATCTTCCTGCAGACCAGCCCAGGTCCTGCTTCTCTGCAGGCCCATTGGCCTCTGGGTGCTGGAGACCCTCTAGAGTTCCAGCCAGACTGCTTTCTGCTCCCAGCCTGTGTGGCTGCCTGGAAAGGCGCCTGGAAGCTCTGTGATCTGCTCACCTTGGCGATGTCTTTCCAAACCCCAGGCCCGCAGATCAGCTCCCTTTCCTGTGTGCGCGGAGTCGGGTGAGGGTGTGGCACGTTGAGCCCTGCCCCCGTGGACACTCGGGGGCCACGGCTTTGCTTTTCCGATATGCTCCAAGGTTAGAAGACAAGCAGCTATCAGTTGCTTCCAGCTTAGTGAGAAAGAGTTTGAAGCTCGCTTTTCCATTCCATTTTTCCCTACTCTTAGGAAAATTTTCTTGAATTTTTCAACGATCAGAGACTTCTGTAGCTCCCAGGTGTCGAACACCAACCACTAGCAGGAGACTTTCTGAACATTTCGAGTAAACCATTTCTGATCTTCACTCGATCTACCAGGTAGATGTTTCCATTTCTAGGTTTCGGTACAGATTCGGAGGCCCCGCATCTAAGTGACTCAGAGCTGCTGGATTCCAGAGCAGCCTGGTCCAAACACAGAAGCTCTTCTGGGCATCTCCCTCCTGACCTGCTTTCTGTCCTGCTGGCGGGCCCCAGCCAGCTGTTGAGCGGGCCGAGCTCCAGGGTGGGGCAGGAGCATCTGGAGAAGGTGGCGTTGTCTAGACTCCAGGGCCATGATGGCGAACCTTTCAGAGACGAATGCCCACAGGGCAGCCCCAAACCCACCTACTTATGGCAAGGGGCCAACTCTGTAACAAAATCTGTGCAAGCTGAAGTTTTAGTTTAGAAAGAACTCATATATTAGCATATTTTTTTCTTCTGTACCAGGAATTGAACTCAAGACCTTGTACTTTGCCAGGCAGGCGCTCGTGCCACTGAGCTCTATCTCCAACCAAACACCTTTCATTTTGAAAGAAAAACAACACGCCTGTTGTAGTTTGGCCACTGCTGGTCTAGGGCCTCTGTGATGCCCGTAGCTGGGGTAACGTAGAGCGCAGAGCTAACTGGCTTCCTGTGCTGGCTCTATTATGGCCCCTGATGGCAATGAAATAAAGCCCCAAGATGCATAGCTGTCTCCTGAGGGTCTACAGTGGGGGGGGGTATGCCTCACTCGGTCCCCACGACCCTGGGCTGTAGCTCATGTTCTTTCTGGGGAGGAAGCTGGACTCATGTCACCAGACTGAGGAGCAGGGACTCCACCCTGGTGTTCTCTTTTCTGAGGCTTTGAGGGCTTCAACATTGTTGAAGGCTGGAAGGATGGGTAAAGAGGACCAGGAGAAGCAGTTGTAGTAGCATATATCTGTAATGCCAGGACTTAGGCGGCCCAGGAAGGAAGACTGCTATGAATTTGGGGCTGGGCTACATAGACCCTGTCTCAGAACAAAACACACCACATGAAAAGGAAGACCTGGAGATGGCTTCATTTGCCTATTGAAAAACAAACAAAAATCTCCAAAATTAAGACATGGTTCCAAGGTTAGGAGAGAGCTGCATCTGGGGTCTTGTCCCTGTCCTTCAGGTGCCCTGGGTCCACTGAAGCCCAAGCTTTCTGGCTGCCTGGCCTGTAGACCCCTCCACTTGCTGAACTCTACCTGGCCATCAGATCCAAAGGTCCTTCTTCCTTCGAGCAGTGCCCAGACTGCCCCTGGAGCCTGGCCCTGGTTTGCCTTTGCCACAGAGCTATAGCCTCAAGCCCTCAGCTGCCAGGGCACCAGCCTTTCGAGGTTCATGCCCTGCCAGTGCTCAGGGCCTGCCACTGGGGAGTGGCCAAGGCCCAGGCCCCTACGCAGCACAGGGAGGGTGCCAGGTAGGTGACCGACTCTCCTTTCTCCAAGCAGGTCTGGTAGCAGCTTTCAAAGTGGCCACGCCATATTCCCGGTTCGTGTGTCCTGAGGGGCAGAACGTCACCCTCACCTGCAGGCTCTTGGGCCCTGTGTCCAAGGGGCACGATGTGACCTTCTATAAGACGTGGTACCGGAGCACGCGGAGCGAGATGCAGGTGTGCTCGGAGAGGCGGCCCATCCGCAACCTCACATTCCAGGACCTGCACCTGCACCACGGAAGCCACCAGGCTGCCAACACCAGCCAGGACCTGGCCCACAGACACGGGCTGGAGTCGAACTCCGATCACCACGGCAATTTCTCCATCACTTTGCGCAACCTGACCACGTGGGACAACGGGCTATACTGCTGCCTTGTGGTAGAGGTGCGACACCACCACTTCCCGGAGCAGAGGGTCCATGGGGCCATTGAGCTGCAGGTACAGAGAGGTGAGGCACCCCTACACCCCCAGCACATGCTGCATATACAGCTGTGTGACCGTGTGCGACGCTGGGCTGGACAGTGTGTGCCCACGTGGGTGCCGCTGGTGCTCCAGTGTGTATGTGAGGCGGAAGGGCTGTGACTTGTGATTTGCTGGTGAGATGGAGAGGAAGGGTGTGTGTAGCCCTGACTGTGACCACAGGACTCATTCACTGAGAGGGCCATAGCCTGGGCTGGGAGCACAAAAACTCTAGTGATGACACCACAGCTGCGGAGGGTGGAGGCCCAAGTCAGGATACTTATGGAAATGTGGGTGTCCTGCTGAGAACATGGGGCTGGCAGGATGCAGAGGTGTGGGTGCTGTGAGTCCCCACTTGTGCTGGGAGTGAGCTGGGCAGGGCAAGAACATGCCACGGGATGTGTGTGTGTGTGTGTGTGTGTGTGTGTGTGTGCATGCACAGGGTCCTGCTGGCTAGGCAGGCACCAGCATGGCCTGGGTAAGTGTCCTTGGCCTCCTGGGCCCAACATGTCCTAACAGCTATTCTCCTTGCTCCCTCAGGCAAAGATGTGCCGTCCAAATGCATCACGTACTCGTTCTCCCCGGAGGAGAGTGACAGTAAGGCCATCCTCTTGATCTCTGGGTGCCCTGTCCTCTGTCCGCATCTTCTACCCTGATCCTGCTCTGACCTCTGACCTCTGACCTCATCACCCGCATCTGGGATCCCCCCACCCTTGGTGCTGCCATGCCCTTTGCTTCTTCCGTGGCTACAGACCCAGAACCCCACTTGCCTTCCAGCTGCTCTGGACCCCAAAGGGACCGCTTCCGCACGCAGCAGGCATGACCAGCTCACAGAGCCTGGGGCACAGCTGGGACCTGGCTGGGGGCCTGCCTGGCTCTGCTCACCTCCCGTTCTTTCCAACTGTAGGGCAGAAGGGATATAGGCAGGAAGGATAGTGGCTGGTGTCACCTGGTATTTGACCAGAGAGGTGCTCTAAGGAAAAGGGGTTCTAAGTGTCTGAGGAGGGCTGGGTACTCAGGTCAGGTAAGAATGCCCAGCAGCCTCGGGACAACAAGCAAGGCCATGTCCTTGGATGCCCTACTCTTCTGAGTGGAGAGGCCTGGCTTCTATGTCCTTCTAGCCATCTGGTACCCATCAGGCATCTGTGCAGACCAGACACTGCTGAGGCCTCCAGAAGGACCTCCAGGAGGGCCTGAGCCAGAAGGAGGCAGCCCACTGGAGCCCCCGGTCAAGCCCTGACCCAAAGGCTGCGGTGACTTTTTACTCCAACTACCCATTTTTCAAACAATGAACAGAACGATTAGGAGCAGGTATCATGTGCCCTTCGGCCTGAGCTAGGCCTTCACAGAGCTTGGTCACCGTGGCGCAAGCCACTGTGCTGTCCTCACTTCCTTTTGCATGGCCACTTCCTTTCCACACCAGTGGACAGGGAAGCTTGCTGGTGGGCACGTGTGACAGTCACTTCCTCATGGCACCTTTGCTCTGAGCAAATGCCCAGTCCTACTTCTTCCCGAAACCTCGCAAAGCTGCAAGGCACTCTCAGATTATCCCCTCCACCATGGCCCCCGTGTCACAGGCAGGGAAACCCAGGTTCTAGCAGCTGGAAGGAGTTTTCTGGGTCTCTCAGCCCAGAACCACGGATGTCAGAGAGCCGGACTCATGGGGTGTGCATGTACCTGCCCAAGGGCTAGCTGCCTCCTCCAGGGTCAACCCAATTTTGAAAATGAGCAATGAAATTTTGTTCCTGGGGACAGAAACATGAGATGCCAATGGGGATGGTGCCAGACAGACCAGGTACAAAACAGAGAGGATGCAGGGTCTAGGGAAGGGACCCGGGGAGGAGCACTGAGAGGTCTGGAGCCCACACAGGAAGCAGAAACCTTGAGCTCAGCCAAGGATGCTCAGGGTTTTCACCAGTCAAGAGCTGTGAAGTCTCCCTTGGCCCCTCCTTCTCTGAGCTGCTGTCCAGTGCACTGGCTTCTTGCTAGCTTCTGTCCATAGCAGAGGGTAAAGGCATGGCTCCGGTGACTTCAGGTGTCCCTTTCCAAGCTCCTGGTTCTGGCAGCATAGGTGCTTAGTGGATGAGAAGCAACCAGGCTGCGCTTTGGGAGGGCTCTGGGGCTTTGGGCCGCACTGTCACCCTCTGGGTAGCATTTCCCCACCGGGCATTGGAGCAGCTGCTGGGAGCTACTGGGAAGGCAGCAGTGAGTGTTATCCAAGGGGCTGTAGTGTGCCCAGGGCCAGAGGAGCTCTGTGAGCGCTTTAGGCCGGTCTGGCGGCTGTGCATCAGGGTGGGCCCAAGGTTGCTGGTGCCACTCAGCCGTCAAGGAGAGCCAGAAACCAGATTTTATAGGAACTTACAATTTTAACATGTTGCCAACTAAAGAAGAAGATTAAGGCCTTTGAGGGCCATGGCTGCAAACTGAGTGGGTTCCAGTGAAAACTGGTGCCAGGAAGTGGCTTAGACTGAGACCCTGACTCTGGCCAGGCTGCCAGTTGCCAAGCCGCTCTGTGCCTTACTTCCTCATCTGTTAGGGGAGCTGATGACAGGAATGATGTTACCCTGTAGTGTGCTTTTGAGGCTTGCAGGAGGCAACCATTAATGAGTCTGTGGTAGGTGTCTGCAGGTGCGGGCTGTTGTTGCCTCTTGAAGTGCAAGTCTAAGCCTGATTCCCAAGTGCACTCACCCACCACTGCGCCACGGCAGGATGGCAGGTAGATGGTAGCAGTCAGTGGAGATGGCCCTGTTTCCTAACCATTCTAGAGCATCTGCCTGGGGACCCACATGACCCCAGATCAGGATGCTGGGTGCACTGCCACTTTGGAAAGCTCCTAGTCTCTGTTCACTCTAAGACCAGGCCCTACAGCAGCCCAGCACCTGATCCATCGGTGGTGCTGCCAGCCAGGCAGTTTGTTGACTTTTGCTTCTCTAACTTCAGCCTGTGTCTCTCAGTGTTATTTCTGGGACATCAAAGAGTAGCTGGGCCAGCACTGAAGTCAAATCCCATAGTAGGGAGAAGTAGCAGGGAGATGCAAGCCAGGGAAGTCTGTTTCCAGGCAGCCCCTGCTGTTCATGGCTTTCCCCCTGTTGTCCCTTTCCACTGACCTAGCAGGGAGCTCCTTCCTCTGTATATACCCTCGGGGAAACTGGCGCCCTGGACAAAGCCCCGCTGAGCAGGCTGGGCACACTTCCCAAGGTGGTATTGCCACTGCCTCTGCGGGCACCCAATCACCTTCCCAGGATAAGCTCAAACATACTCTTCTCTCTAGAGGGTGTCAGCCCAGGCCCTGGTCATGCCGGGGGAGTGCTGTGCCCAGGCTGGGCTCTGCACAGATACCCAGTCTCAGAAGACAGCTGAATCCACAGACCAGTCTTCAAAGCCCCGTCCCTTGCCCCAGTCTCAACACTCAGCCATTGTTACAAGAAAACCCCACGCTCTCAGAATGAAACCCAGTCCTGATCTCCCGGGGGATGCTGCAGGGAGGGGACACACATGGGCACACGAGTCATGCAGGAAGAGCTGGCCAATCCTCACAGTCAGGTAGAATCAGCGAGCACCCGGAGAACCGCACCGAATATTGCTTAATGACAGTCGGAAGAGACCTGCTTTGATGGCAAAAAAAAAAAAGCACTCTGCAACTAGCTCCTCAGACCCTGCCCTCAGAGAGGTCTTTGATGAGGTTTAGCAGCAGAGAAGCAGTACCTAGTTGCAGAATGTTTTTACTTTCAGTATTCCATCTTCAAATGCAGCCTTGGTAAGACCTGCAGGGGACCTGCTTTAATGTGGAGCAGAGCTCGCTTTGTAATCAGCGCAGCAACTGTTCCTGTGCCGACGGGACTTCTGAAAAGCTTGATAACTGTTTGTTCTCTTCTGCCATGTGAACAACCCCCCCTGCCAGTTGTTTACACCGCCGTATTGTTTTGCCATATGATGAGATAAAAATGGCCTTTATTCCCAAATACAGTGCAAAAGCCACATTTAGACCACAGCCTGTCCTATCCCAAAAGCTCTCTGGGGCAAAGACAACACGGTGACAAGGTATCTCAGCCATCTTTTGGCCCAGGAAAAGGCTCAAATTGGGAAGGAAAAGTGTCTATGCTGGCTGTGGTTGTAAGGGCTCTTCTGTTCCCTGCTAAACTCGTAGAGTCAGCAGATGGACTGAAACACATCCCCCTACTCCCCTGCTGCCGGTACCCAGAAGTGGTACAACCTTTTCTGGGGGCAATTTAGCAATAGCCTAAGAAAAAACCCACACGTTCTCTGGCCCAGCACCTCGAGTGCCCAGAAGCACATGCCTGAGCGGGTGGGGATGCGATGTGAGGATGCGATGTGAGGTGCGTACTGCTGCCTCATTGGTTCTGGGGCAGGCGCTCCCGGGAGGGGCCCGAGCTGTGTGTGGGAAAGCCCTGTGCAGATGAGGCGGCCCTCACCTCACCCGCACACAGGGGTGTCCACGTTCCCTGCTGGCCCATCCAGTGGGAACCACAATTGCCAGACGGCCCACATCTGCCAGAAACGCAGGGAGGGTATGGGTCTAGATGGACACATGCGGGGCTGGGGACATTCGTGATCTGGAGGGCCCGAGGGGAGGGTAAGGAGGAGACTTGGCTTTTTTTTTTTAACTTGTCCTTTTTTTATAATTTAAAATTTAAAAATACTACCAGGCCCAGTGGTGCATAATTGTAATCTCAGCACTTACCAGGCTGGAGGATGAGGATCAAGACCTGCCTGGGTGACATAGTGAGTTCAAGGCCCACCTGGGTGATAATAGTGAATTCAAGGACATTCTGGGCTACATAGATTCTATCTCAAAACAACAACAACAACAAAAATTAAAAGTATTAGACAAAGATGGCCCTTTCTCTAGTTTGTTGTTCTATGTGTTTTTCCTCCATGCCTAGAGGTTTCCAGGGGCCCAGAACTACAGAGTCTCTCCAGGGGTTGGCTGGGACTATTTATTTTTTATTGAGGTAAGATATATGACTATACCACATGAGTGTCCATGGAACTATCTTTAAGTGTGCCATTCAGTGGCATGCACTGAATCACATTCTCATGCTGTACAACAATCACCACTATTTCTTTTCTTTCTTTTTTTTAAAAATGTATTTGTTATAGAGTCTCACTACATAGCTTGGACTTGTAGTGATCCTCCTGTTTTCAGCCTCCCCAGCACTGGGATTACAGGCCCGCACCACCATGCCCTGGCTCCAGGCTCAGTGTACCTGACAGCAGGGCCGGCACTGCATGTGGTGCAGGGGATTGAACTTCAGTCCCTGTGCTTGCCTAAGCAGGCATTTAGTCTGCTAAGCAATCTCGCTGGCCCACTGCTGTCTATCTAAGACAGTTTTAACTTTGAGCTCTGTGGACTAGGGTCTGTAAAGGGCCTGCTTCCTTTCTCAAGGATAACCTGCAGCCGTGAGTTGTCTAGCTGTCCTTGGGTGTGGGGTGAGGAGTCTGCGCTCTTCTCTGTGGGTGGGGCTGCCACATGTCTAAGTGACAGGTCTGGTTTCACCGTGCTCTGGGGCCCCTGGGTGAAGGTGGGCTCCCTGCTGTCCAGCTCTCCCTCTTGACCTCAGTTGTATGTCTCCCCGCTGCAGCTCTTCCACCATAGGAAGAGCAGTGGGAATGAGGCCTCACCTCAGCTACCTCTCTGTTCTTACAGACATCACAGCTGCGGCCCTGGCCACGAGTGCCTGCATTGTAGGAATCCTCTGCCTGCCGCTCATCCTGCTTCTGGTCTACAAGCAGAGGCAGGTGGCCTCGCACCGCCGTGAGTACCTGTGTAATGGGTGTGCGTGTATATGCACGCACGTGACATGTCCAGCCAGCCCCTGGGTCAGCAGAGGCTCCCAGCAGGCCCTGCACCTCTGCTCCTTGGTACATTCAAGGAGCGAGGGAAGGGGCCAGGCTTGAGTGCCTGGCAGTTGCTTTGGCTCCCAGGCAGTGCTGTCTTGGTGTTCCATCAAAAAAAAACATACTCGGGGCTGGTGAGATGGCTCAGTGGTCTAAAGCACCTACTTAGAACAAGCTTAGCAAAGCACAGGGACCGCGGTTCAATCCCCAGCACCACATGCCAGCCAGTCCCACCCCCTGGTGGGCTGAGCTGGACACACACACACACACACACACACACACACACACACACACATAAATAAATAAAATTAAAAAAAAACATACTCAATGAATGAATACATGATCACACGCTACAATAGAACAGCTCACACTGTTCATAAATATGCTGCCCCCCAACAGAAAGCCTTTGGGGACCTGCTCTCATGTGTGGGTGCATTTGTTTTGGAATTGGTAGCAAGTGCTGGTTCATAAATATGGTTTTTGACCAGGTATGGTGAGTGGCTCATGTTTCAAATGCCTTAGCAGGCTGAGACAGGAGGCGTGCTGTGTGTCTGAGGCCAGCCTGGGCTACATAATGAATTCAAGGCCAGCCTGAGCTATATAATGAGATGCTTTCCCCAAAAAAAGAAACAGTAAAAAAATGACTTTTGGCATACAGGAAGTAGGAGGGGGTCTTGCAGATTAAGATAGCAAGCTAATAACTGAATAGTATGTAACTGCCTCCCAGCCTCTCACCCTTGCTCTGTCTAGGAGTGCAATATCACTATACAAAAACAGTGCCTACTGATCACCAAGCCCTGGCAGATGGGGCTGCTGTGCCAGGCTCTATGCCAAACTGGTCACATGCATTTGCCCACTGTGAACTCAGAACAGCCCCCCAAACTTGGTTCCACCGTTATCCTCTTTTATAGATGCGTACACTGAGGCTCAGAGACATTTAATAACTTGCCTAAGACACCATATAGCAAATATGTGGTGAAGCCAGGCTTCACAATCCTGGCCACAAACACCTTTCACACCCTCCTTCTGGGTGACAGCACCTCCTGTGTTCATCTAACCTTGCCTGAGAGTCTCAGTCTGCCAAAGGTGTGAGCCTGAGGACCTGGGGGCCCCTTGCCTGGCCTCTGGTTCCTGCCTGGCTGCGGCAGGCACCAAGGAGGGACTGTTGTCACCCGGCCATCCTTGATATCCTTGGCCTCTATCTACTCCATGTCCTTGCTGAGGCCCAGCCTAGAGCCCCACGGTGGGTCCCTCGGGGCTTGTGGCCACCTGCCCCTTGCTCTCTGAGCAGCCCTGTTCCTCTCAAAGACCCCATGGCCCACCGACAGGAGCCCTGAAGTTGGTGGGGTTACCAGGTGAGAACAGAAGAGGAAGCCAGGAGCTGCTGTTCTCCTGAGGCCAGCAGGGCGAGAGGAGGGAGCCCCAGCTTGCAGTCAGGGGTGCTTTCTGTACCCTTTGCTGCAGGCCACAGCACTGCCTCATCATGTGGCCAGAACAGGGAACAGGAACTGGAGAACAAATGTGTTCTGGGTAGAGGGTGCCCTGGATGTGTGTGTGTGTGTGTGTGTGTGTGCGCGCGTGTGTGTGTGTGTGTGCGTGTGTATGTGTGCCTTCCCTGTGCTCCTTCCTGGAAGCCCTCTCCACCTCCACCAGTGGCTCCTGTTGGGAAGGGGGATGGGAAGGAGAGCCACTCCATGCACTGTGACACCTTCAGGCTAAGTGCAGCTCCTGGGAAGGTCCCAGTCTGTTCCAGAAAGACACAGGAGAACTGGACTGAGGGCGTGTGTGTGTGGGTGCAACGGTTGATTAGGGGTGTGCTGTACCCCGTGTTCCATGTGTCCCTGGAGCTCTCTTAAGTGATACTGTTTTGGAGCCACCAGCTACTTCTCTAGCTCTCGTCCCCTCACTGTGTGCAGTAACAGAGGGGAAACAATTATTTATCTTGTCCTAAAAATGTTTTTGGGATTAGTCCCCCCTCTCTCTAAAGAAAATTCTCAAGGATGAAAGATTGTTATCTGATCTCAGACTTAGGAACACAGATATGAACTACGAGAGACACCATCTGCAAAGTGGAGGTGGGACAGCTTGGGGCCATCTCTCCCTGTGTAGGTTCTGAAGAAGCAGCTGCCCTGGGGTTGCAGGAACAGCAAGGCCCCTGAGTCCCGCAGTGCAGGCAGAGGCCGCTGAGTGGGTGGCAGGACAGGGATATGTGTGGTGGGTTCCGGAAGGAAGGTGCTGTGGTCCTGGCCTGGAGGAGATGCTCAGGAAGGAGCCATAGTCAGGGCCAAGGGAAAAAACAGGGCTGGGGGCACAGAGGGGGACAGCTCGCTGGGCCTGGACTCCTTTCCAACCTCAGATTGTGACTCAGTTTCGCCAGCTCTAAAGTGGGACCCACATCCTTACCCAGGCTACAGTAGAGAGGAGGAGATGAACAAACACATGCTGCACACACACTTGAAGCTGACAGGACCAGCTCCCGTAAACAGGGGCCACAGCTCTGCAGATTTCAGGAACTCGAGCACAACTTCCCTGAGTTCGAGTTCATGCTTCAGCGTGCCCCTCCCCCACCTCAGTTCCCCATATGCCTTCAGCAGCAAAGCTCCTTAAAGTGAGAAGGGTCTGCAGGAGAAAGGTGCAGGGTACTGTCATAAAGAGGGAAGTTTGGGGTCCCTGCATTTGGCTGGTGGCCAGTTTAGGGGCTGGGGAACCCCTAGAGTCAGTCCAGGCTGTCCCAGCATGAATGAGGAGTAGAGAGTGGGACAGCTGGGAAGTGACAGGATGCTTGGTCCCCTAAGAGATGTCACATCTATTACGTAGCATGGAGGACAGGGCAGAGAGGACTCTCTAACTAGAAAATGACCTTGAAGACCCCACTGTAAATCACGGCTGAAGTCCAGAACGGGGCATGTGTCCAAAGAGGAAACCGCAGTTTGCAAATTCAGGAGCCAGGCCTCTGGTTGATCTTAAATCCTGATGGTCTACGTCATTGAGCCATGGGAGAAAGTGTGGGCTGCCCTGGGATTCCTGGTGGCAAATGTGGCGAGCACTTGAAAAAGAGAGGCTGAGATTCACTCATCCACATAGTGGGCCAGTGACCCGGGGGCCACCTGCAGTGGACTTTCCTGTAGGGTAGGGTCTGTGGGTGGCTTCCTGCTCCATGAGGGGCCTCTGCTGGTGGGGCTGGGATGCTGCCTTCCTTCCTGTGATCAGCTTCTCTGTCTGTTCCTAGGTGCGCAGGAGCTGGTACGGATGGACAGGTAAGGCCCACAGACACACTCGCTGGGGCCAGCAGGCAGCGAGGAGATATTTCTGTGAGCAGGGCCTCTGCTCAGCCACCTAGCTCTGCCCCTGGGCAACAAAAGGCAGATCCCGGAACACTCAAAGGGGACCTAGCAAACCCGCCTGGCAGGAGAGCAGATGCTAAGGGCAGCAGCAAGGGTGGCCCATCAGGCATGGGGAAGCTGGGGGAGTGTGGCTTCTGCACTCTGGACTAGCAGCTGGCTGCAGCCTGGCCACAGCCTGGCCTGGAGGATGAGCTCAGGAATAAGCCACACTCAGGAGCTCAGCTGCTGTCCTGGAACAGTGGCCGGGAGCTCCTCTGCATGTTTTAGAAGGATGATTTCCAAGACACAAAGGAAGCCTTGTCAGCAAGTCTGCCAGAATCTCAGAGCTGAGGGGTCCTTCTCAGGTTGTCCCTTCCTCAGTTGGGAAGAGAACCTGCCCACTTAGCTCAGAGAGTTCCTGGGACGCTCAGGCCCTGAACACCTGACACTGGTGTTTGGGGTGTGCCTTGGGCTATGTAGTGATGCTCAGAATGCAGGAAGAATGGCGGCCAGTCTGGTGGCTGCCCAGGTGCCCTGAGTGCCAGGAGGGGGCAGATCACAGCATATGCCTTTGTCCTGTGGCTTGGGGTGAGCGGGCAGGAAGAGAAGAAGGGAGGCTAGGAGGGCAAAAACCATACTCGATCCCTGCAGCACAGGTGACCTTCCATTTTGCTCCTCTAGTGCCATCACTCAGGGAATTGAAAACCCTGGCTTCGAGGTCTCTCCACTTCCCCAGGGGATGCCCGAGGCCAAGGCCAGGCCCCCTCTGACCTACATGGCCCAGCGACAGCCTTCTGAGTCTGGGCGGCACCTGTTGTCAGAGCCCAACACTCCTCTGTCTCCTCCGGGTCCTGGGGACATCTTCTTTCCATCCTTGGGTGAGTATTGCTGTGACCTTGACCCTCAAGGTCTGCAGGGCACCCTCTTTGGGAAGTCCTCACAGCCTCATGGTGAGGGTTGGGGTGAAGGGGTAAAGAGCCTGCTGTTCACGTTGCGTCTCCTCTCTTTGGCAGAGCCAGTCCCTGACTCTCCACATTCTGAGGTCATCTAAGCCAGCGGGGGACAGGGGGCAGTGCTGACTGCATGGGGCAGGTGCACTGGAGCCAGGGCCGGCCTTGTGCCTGGCTCCCTCGACCTTGGCTTTGGCTTGGCCTCTGCTCCTGCTCTGAGCCCAGATTCTGCTTCAGCCCCATTGCCTGGACCTTCTACCTTCTGGATGTTGCATGGGGAAGAAGAGAAGGTGCTGGATTGCTCAGCGCTGCCCCAAGGATGCTAGGGTGCTAAGTCCCCTGAGGACCTGAACTTCACCACACATGTACAGATGCCAAATGACCTCCATCCTAAGAAGTCCCCAGATTTCCAGCTCTCTATCAGCCTGTCTCCCAGGACAAGAGTCTCAGCAGCACAAGCAGGACAAAGTAGGCATTGGGCAGGCCCTCCCAGTGCCACACTTCCAGGCATGAGACGTGGGACCCAAGGCAGAGTGATTCCTGCCCACTGGGACTGGCCTGGCTGCCCTGTCCACCCTCCAAGACTGCTTCTCTGTTAGCCTCACTCTGTGCCCACGGTGGCTCTGGGGCTGGGCCTGCCAGTTCCCAGCCAAGGGGCTCCCTGCACTGCCTCCCTGTAGCAGTCTCTGAGGATCTGTCAATAGGTTATGCATCTTGAGCTCCTGCTGCCTGCATTCTGGCCCCCCAAGTTCAGTGACCAGAGGCCCTGAAGCAGGAAGTACATAGTGGGCAAAGTGGCCACTGTGAGCCAATCAGCATCTTGGGCAATTTGAGGCCAGGCCAGAGGTTGTGCCACCCACTGCAGATGGTCCAGAGGGAGGTGGGCAGGGCCTGCTGGGAAGGCAGAGAAGAGGTCCCTCCCTCTCCATCTCCGCTGCAGAGCTCAGTGTGGGAAAAGGGGTGACTGCATAATGTCTTGTGCATGAATACTAAAGGGAATGCTGTTAAAAACTACGTGGGCAACAGGTGCAAGCCAGGAAGTGACTTGAAAGCACCAGATCTATCCCTGTCCTCTAGTTCTAATGTGAAGAGGCCTAGGGACTCTGCCACCCCCAGCCTTTGGGCTTCTGCTCATCTGTCACATCATGCGGAGGAGCAGGACCAGGCAAGAGAAGCACTTCACCCTGCTTGGCTCCTGAGCTCTGGCTGGGGTCTCCCACAGCAGGGCATGACCTGGGTTGTTTTTATATCTCATAAAGGAGCCCTTTGTGGAACTGCCTTTGAAGGGCTTTAAGTATGGGGCAGAACTGGAGTAGAGAAGGAGGAGGCTGGACAGTTCCCCTCAGGGTCCCCAACCCTGGGCACCATGGAGAGCATAGTTCCAGTGTGGGCATTCAGGGCCAGCAGCCTCTGCTGACTCTGCAGAGACCAAAAACCAGGCCTGCAGACTGGGCCTCAGGGCCAGCATGCAGGTGAAGGCTGCTATGCCTGGGCTGGGGCAGCGGGGAGGGGAGGGGAGCAGCTTGGGGCTGCAGGCAACAGTGAGCCCCATAGGTGCCCAGCCACACTCCAGATCAGGCCCACAGGCATAGGCCATGGGGTGAGGGGCACCTGTTGTGCCTAAGGCTGGGGCCCTTAGTGACACCAAGCCCTGGCTCCTGCTTTGTGTCCAGAGCCCTGTCTTACACTCCACCTGCTGCCATGGATACATCATTCAGTGCCACAGAGAGAGGGAGCTGTTCCCCCAGCTTGTGGGGGCCCTCTGGGGAGGAGTGGTGATACCTATGGCAGGACTCTGCTATCCTAGGGTCCAAGGATGAGCCACAGACCACCACTGGTCCCCCTGCTCAGGAGTATATCCTGTCCTCTGGCGTGGGCCCAGCCTTCAGACGGAGACAGTTTCTATGAATTTGGCTGTCAGACCCAAGGCCCAGCTGCTGTTGTGTGCAGAAGGGAGGTGGCCCCTGGCGGAGCAGCCACCACACTTCCTGCCCTGTTTCCTCCTGCACTCTTCTGCTCTGACCCTTGCAAGTGAATGTATCTTGGGCTTCGTGGTTTCCTGTTTTCGGTGAAATTTACTCTGAGCTCCAGGCTCCATCTTCATCCATGATTGTGGGACCTGCTTGTTGCCACCCCATGGACACTACGCTTGCTGCTTCTGGGAATGGGCAGCGTGATAGATCAGCTCTCCATGTTACCCAGGATGGCAGGCCCTCAAGAGGCCACCCCTGGTGGCTGTGGGGTGGAGGACAAGGGACAGAATCTGGCATGAACATGCAACTTCCAAAGAGGGATGGGCAGCCTGGGGCCTGCAGGAAGTGTGCTATTTAAGAGGGAGGCTCCCAGGGTCCTGGCTTCCTGCCTGTACCGGAGCGGCTGGGAGGGACAGCTATGCCTTTAGGAGCTACTCATTGTTAGGAGAGCAGTCAGGAATGGGGCTTCTCACCCAGCTCTAGATGTTCATATCCAGTTAAGGCGTTCTTGGGAGAAGCTGAGGGGCAGGGGCTGGAGGTCCCCTTGGGAGGGTTTGTTGGCCCAGGAGGGGCTGCCTAATGCACCCTGGGGTCCCTGGTGGCTGCTGCTGGTCAGGTTGCCCCTGCTTAATGGCGATGGGCCCTAGGGTTGGTGTGCAAACCCCCTGGAACCCGCATCTCAAAAGACCAGCCATGGGGCTGTCCTGGCTCCTGCCTGGCCAGAGCTCCCTTGCACACAGCAGCTCAGGGCTTGGGGCAGAGGGCTGCTGCCCAGCCTCCCTTCAGGGTGGTGGTGGGGTATTCCTAAAGAGCTGTCACTATGCCTAGTCTGCCCTGTCCCCCTCCCCCAGCCCTGCCTGTTGGAGGAGGGCTTCCTGGGTGTCAGCTGGAGCCCTCCCAAGCTGACCTGGCTGTGCCTGGGGCTGGGCTAAGAATTGCTCAGGGAACCGCAATAGATGAAAGAGGAACTAGGTTGTCTGCCAGGATGCTGGGTGCAAGGCTTCCTTGATAAAAGGCCCAGCCCAGCAAGCAGCTGTCCAAGCCCACAGCGGGGACTGTCTAGACCACCCCTGCTTCGCATGGTCACTCTCCCCTCCAACCTCTCACAAATGCTGCGTCTGAGCTCTGGGAACGTCGGGCCTTCGAACTTGGGTTGCAGGGCTGATAAGTGATCCACAGCCACTGAGTGTTGGGCTGAGCCAGGATGTCAGGGTGCTGTTCCTGGACCACTCACATCATTCAGGGCTGCTTCTGACCAGAAGCTACCATCTTGGGTTCCTAGCTTCCTCTGTGCCTAGCAAGATCTTTTCTATGGCAATGATGCCCAAAGCCTGTATAGGCAAGGGGGACAGATGCTTTTTTGTTTCTCAATTCTCATTTATAGGTATGGTCCCCTCAAACATATGTTGAGAGGGATTCTGATGTACTAATATGGCTTAGTGAGAAAGTGCTGGGATCAGCTAGCAATGCCTGCCTTGGGCGTAGGGAAGGAAGTTAGAGTATGTCTGCCACATCTTTGAGTATGGCTTCCAAAACTCCTACCTGTGTTACTGGGTTGATTGCCCTCAATACCAGAGGGGCTTTATTTTTCCCATTTAATGCATCGGGAAACTAAAGTTCTGAAAGACCTGTTTTTTTTTAATACAAGTGAATGGTGTGGTTAATGCCTGGGTCTCCTGCTTCCGGGCCTTTGTTCCTTCCCTTCACTGAATAACATTAGAGGTCAGGGCCTGGCAAGGTGAAGACCTTGCAGCCCGAGAGATGAACCCGTGCCCCTAGGTCCTTGGTTCCACCTTCCTCCACACCACAATTCTCCTATTTGTGTCCTGCCTGACCTGGGCTTTCTCACGCATGCAGTCTCCTTCCGCATGGGTGGCCAGGAAGCCACGAGACTCCCAGTTGGCACAGTGCCCATGCACCCTGCTTGCTTGCATCAGGCTATAGGGAAGGGAGAGTCCTTCAGGGACCACTGAGCCCAGGACTCATGGAAGAACTCTGCATGTGCATTATCCGAGCAGCCACAGGATGTCCTGCTGGCCGCAGGGCTAGGGCAGGGCTGGGGGTGCCCATGTGGGGTGAGAAGGCCAGCTGTTCTCCATGCACACAGGCAGGGAGAGGGCCAGGCGGGGTGCCTGAGCGTGAGCCAGGGGAAGCAGCGTTTACACAGAGGCAGGAAGGAGCAGGCTGAACAACACGAGAGTGCTCTGCACTCAGACAGGAGCTGAGCTGCTCAGGCCATGCCCCCACCCACAGACTATCCTGGGACCACCACTGGGGCCCTGCATAGCAGCACTGAGTACTGGGGGCTTTGTTTTTCTTCTGTTGGACAGATGACCTCTTCAGGTCCCCACAAGCTTAAGAAGCCAGTGTTTGTTATCTGGGACTTCAATTCATGCGTACGTAGCCTGTGTCAGGCCTCCTTCCTCCCCAGCCCCTGCCGAGATGCCCAAGGCTGGGGTCCAACTCTGGCCTCCCTGTTGCGCCTGTGTCCTTCCTCCCCAGGCCAACCCTTCCCCCCGCAGGGGCCTCCATGACCACTTAGACCTCTCTCTCCCGGTCTGGGCAGCCTGCCTTGACCTGGAGCTCACTAGAGGGCTGGAGCAGCACAGCGACTTCCCCTGGGCGGTGGAATTGTTCCTCATTGTGAGGCAGGCCTGGGGCTGGCCCGGATGTCTCTTGCAGCCCAGCTGTTCTGTGCTGGGGTGACACAGGGTGGAGACAGCCTGGGCTAGTGGCAGGAATGTCCGGGCTCTCAGAAAAGTAGGGGGAGAGACCCGTGAGAAAAACAGGGTGGGAGAGGGACTCAGATATAGAATTTAGGGGGGGCTTTGGGGAAGCTCTTGGCTACAGAATCTCAGGCATCCTCCTGGATGATAAGGATGCATATGGTGGCTGTCCAGGAAACTTCCCTGATTCTTGGGTCCGAGCTCCCTGTACTCCATGGCATCAGTGTCAACTCTGTCCCCTTGCCCCCATGCCAGCTCCTCAGTGCACAGGCTTAGGGAAGCAGCCCTGGGCCAACTCATCTTTGCCTCTGGAATAGGCAGACCTCCTTAGTGTTCATTGCACAGATGAATGATTCCTGCAGGGCCCCGTCCCCAAGGAGGGCTGGTCCTGCCTAGCACGGGGCCAGCTTGGAACCAGGAAGGGCACTGCAAATGGCAGCGAGGGGACAGGAGTAGGCCTATGGGATCTCTAGATCTCTAGGTCTCACAGATCTCTAGACAGATGGGTGCAGGCAGCGTGGCTCTCCCGCACCATAAGACCCTCTGACCTTCCCTGTGTAAGTGTCTGGGTCTGGTTGCTCTGGCTGCTTGAAGAAGGACTGGGCTCCTTTGAGCATCCACCCAGAGAAGGCTACGCAGTGGCAGAGAAGCCCCTGGATCTGGTTGCCTCCTGTTCCTTTAGGACACAAGGGGTTCACTGTCTGGCTCTGAGGGATTCACTGCCCAAGGTTGGGCCAGGGGAAGCAAATCTAAGGGTCCAGGGTTGCCTGGAGATGGCAGGCACAGGCTGCTGGGCCCCTGCTGTCAGCTTCTGCCCCACCCAAGCCTGACAAGACTTAGCCAGGAGCCACCTCCTCTGGGAAGCCTGCCCATCCCTTCTCAGTGCCCCATCTGCTGCTGGAGCCCCTGCACGAGCTTTCTTGTGGCCCCCCTCCCCACCAGCTGTGCCCTTCAGGCCAGAGCCATGATGTCTTCCCTCTGCAGTGCCTCTGGTGCCTAGCAAACAGCATCCAGGGAACACTGGCTGAGTACATAAATGAGTGAATGAACAAGCAAACAAAGGCAGCTTTGCACTGGGTTCTCAAACTACATCCTGTGATCACTGCAGTTTTGCTCAAGTACCTCCTCCAAAATTCAAATAAGGGGGACTTCTTTCCCCCAACCTGATGAAGCAGGGACAAAGTGCAGCAGGGACATACTCATTGTGAATGAACATTTTCCTCCTAGGAATCTCTTGCCTGTTAGTCCCTGGGACTGTTTGCTTCTGTTACAGTCTAGAAAGCCCAGGCCTGCAGCATGCTGCCCAGGCGCAGGCCTTGGGAGCCCTGCCCCCCATCCTGCCCACACCAGGGTGTCCAGG